TATAAATAAACTGAACTTAAAATGAGGATGAAGGCAGCGTCAGAGGAGACGTCAGCTCTGCAGCAGTTTGTGTTTAGATTCAGTTTTTTCATCAGATGAAGAAAAGATCAAATTAAAGAAAAAACAATATTTCCAACAGATTAACACATAAAATTAAACAAGTTAATGAAACATGTTTAAAACTGAAGCATCAAGATTAATTCATGTAAAAAAGGAAACACAACATTCTGCAAATCATAGCTTTGTTTTTTTTAAATGACTCATAAATCCTAAGTATCAGTCATTTAAGTATCTTTTTGATGAATATAATGAAATACTGTAATACAAAAAGTTTCAACATACATTTTAACAGATATTTTTCAGTAATTTTCTGTTTTATTAAACACAAAGGTAAAGAAGCTGACTTACAGCAGAGCAGCAGTGTTTCCTCAGAGTCAGGAGGAGTTTCTGCCTCAGCTGCAGGTGTGTCTCCCACCAGCAGGAGGCGCTGCTCGCACACACAAAGTCCTCCCACTGAGGGGACACAGAGGGTCCCCAGAGCCGCGCAGCTGCAGGTGAGGGTAAAATATTTTCTCTTAATTTAATGAGAATTAATGATTTAGTTTTTTTTTTATCTTCTGTCAAACATTTTCTGCAACTTTTCTTCTTTTTGCTTTTCTTCATTTTATTTCTCATTGATTCGTGTTTATTGAAGGAGAAATCCCTTCATTTGTTTGAATTTTTGTCCTCAGTCATGTTTTCTTCGTCACATCCTCCTCTTCGTCCTGGCTTCGCTCCAAGGACGGCTGGAGGTGGGCGGGGGGCATCCGGAGCGAGCGTGGTGACACCTGACAGCTGTCACTTTAGCTGCAGCTAATGCAGACAGGCTAACCTGAAATGAGCCGGGACAGGCCTGGAGCTCTGCACATCACTGACCCCCATCCTCCTCCTCCTCCTCCTCCTCAGGGAGCCGCACCAGCAGGTACCGGGGCAGTGTGGAGGTGCAGCGGTGGGGTGGGAGAGATAAGAGTGAGGATATAAGAGGGGGGTCATCAGGGTCACGGTGCTGTTAGCTCTGACAGCCGGCCTCTGAAATGTATCCGGCGCTAACAAAGAGGCCAACAACTGAGGAGGAGGAGGAGGAGGAGGAGGAGGAGGAGGAGGAAGGACAGACACTAGAAAAGCTCTGCTTCTTAACTCTAAATCTGTTCACAGAAAAAGCTAAAAAAAAAAGGAAAGTTTGTCTCTTACCGTCAGTTTAACACAGAAGATAAACTTTAAATCCTGAAAACAAGAAGAAAAGATTCAGATGAAATGTTTTTCTATCTGCAAACAGGAAACATGTTCCTGATTCTTCTGATGAGAACACAGTCAGTTTATTCTCCCTGAACCTGAACCTTCTTTAAACTCAATAAACTAAATAACATCAGTCCTGATCAGAACCTGCTGGTTCTTCCTGCTCGCCTCAAACAGAAGCGTCCAGTTTAAACGCTGACAAATAAGAAATAAAATCATTTATTTAACAAGTTTATCACAAAATAATGACGTCATCAACACGTTTAACAAGTTTATCATGTTTATTATGTTTAACTTGTTTAACATGTTAAACATGTTTAACATAAAGAAGTTTATCACAATCCAGTGACATCAACATGTTTAACAAGTTTCTCATGTTTAACAAGTTTCTCATGTTTAACAAGGTTCTCATGTTTAACAAGGTTCTCATGTTTAACATGTTTATCATGTTTCTTGTGTTAAGTTTATCATGTTTCTCATTTCTTGTTTATCATGTTTCTTGTTTCTCATGTTTAACATGTTTATCATGTTCAACAAGTTGATCATGTTTAACRTGTTTCTCATATTTCACGTTTAACAAGTTTYCCTTGTTTAACATGTTTCTCATGTTACTTGTTTAACATGTTTATCATGTTTATGATGTTAAACAAGTTTCTCATGTTTGACAAGTTTATCATGTGTCTCGTTTCTCAAGTTTTTTGATTCTCATGTGTCTCATGTTTATGTTTCTCATATTTCTCATTTCACATGTTTATGTCTTTCATGTTTTGTCTTGTTTAACATGTTTACTGTTTATCATGTTTAACATGTTTATTATATCTAATTATCATGTTTCTCATGTTTAATATTTTTAGCACGTTTTTCATGTTTCTCATATTTATTACGTTTACCATGTTTGTCATGTTTCTTGTTTCCTATGTTTCTCATGTTTAACATGTTTCTCATATTTAACAAGTTTATCATGTGTAACATGTTTCTCATGTTTCTTGTTTCTCATGTTTAACACGATTATCATGTTTCTCATGTTTATCATATCAAACAAGTTTATCATGTTTAACGTGTTTCTCATGTTTAACAAGCTTATCGTGTTTATCATCTTTCTCATGTTTAACAAATTTAACATGTTTATCATGTTTTTCATGTTTCTTGTTTACTGTGTTTCTTTTTTACTTGTTTATCATGTTTCTCATTTCACATTTGTTTTTCATGTTTAACATATTTATTGCGTTTAACTTTTTATCATGTTTCTCATGTTCAACATTTTCTCTTGTTTCTCATATTTATGTTTATCTTGTTTAACATGTTTGTCATGTTTATTATGTTTATCATGTTTAACATGTTTAACATTTTTATCATGTTTAACAGGACATAAAACATTATTTGTTGAGAAGAAAGATGAAAGAAGAAATGATGCTAAAGAAGAGGAGAGTGTGAAACGACAGCAGCTCATTATAACAGCGAGTGTCAGACTTTCCTCTGGTTTCTGTGAGGATGTCAGTGTGTGTGTGTGTGTGTGTGTGTGTGTGTGTGTGTGCGCGCGCGCTGATTCAGCTCGTTATCTCAAAGCAGCCGCAGACAGAATGAGTTTAAATCTCAGCTTCAGTGTTTTATTTCCTGTTCGCTCTCTGGTTCCCTCTCAGGCTGGAACCACACGGCTCGGGTCTGGACCGGTTCTCCATGTGGGACCGGTCTGTAAGAACTCACGAGAACTTCATTTAGACGTTCTGAAGTGGCGCTCTGTAGAATACTGATTGTAGACAGGATCACTGTAGCACTTCCTGTGCAGCCTGACGCCACTTCCTGTTAGAATTTCATAATATTTTGGATAAAATAACTATTTATTGCAAAAATAAAAACAAACTAATAATTATTAGCCAACTGATGTCACCTGTGTAAATTTAAATTATGTCTTTTTCTGTGCTAAATAAAAACATATCTGCACGTCCAGCCCACCCACAGGGGGTCTAACAGGCTAACCTCACTCATTTACAGATAATCCTCAAGTCAAAACAAAGACCTGGTGGTAATCTGAGCTCAGGTCTGCCGAGTCTGAACTGGAGGAATAATCTGGATAATCTGCCTGTAAAAGCTGGATTACTGCCAGTTAGGAGCAGAGCCCCCTCATTAATCAACTAAAACCCACCGAATACCTGCAGAGGAACCAGCTGAGCTCTGACACCATCACGCCATTACGTCATCATTACATCATCATTACATCATCATCATGTTGTTTATCAAAGTTCTGCTTGTCTTTAAGTCGACAGACAACAACTGTGCTGAAGGAATATTTACTCACACATGTTGACAAACACACTAACAGCCCGCCCAACACACACACACACACACATAACCACACCGGCCTCTCTGTGTGGGCCACAGGTCCGGTGTGAAAGGCACGCAAACATTTAAATATTTCAGACTGTACTCTCCCCCACAGCCCACCCAACACACACACACACACACACACACACACACACAC